TGCCTGAATTTGGAGCTGAACGAAAGGGGTAGATCTGAAAACCCAGGCTTTCCTCGAACGAAAAAGATCGAATTCACTTAGGTAGTCGGTGATGAGGAGAACAGATCCGATCCGGATGTGCGAGAACTAAGGCGCTGGAAATGAACTATACGGAGTATTTTTTACTTTTTAGGCGCTCGAAATGAAAAAGTGGGCGCTAATATTTCAGCGAATTTCTTGTCCAGATTTTTAAAGTTTTTTAAAGAGTAATATAATTTAAAATTTTCAATTTCTATGTTACGGAAAAAAAGAATGAATAATGATGTATGTTTTTCTATAATTAGATATATTTATGTGATTTTCCACACTTTTTTATGCGGGTAAATAAATTCATCTTTTGCCACTCTTTTAAGTGTTGGAAATGATAAAGTGCTTAATTTTATTACCACACTTGGTCATGTGCGGCGAATTAAATGAGGCTAAAAGGCTCTTTTCTTGTAGTGACCAAAACAAAGGATCCACCCAGAGAAGACATTGTGAAGATAGATAAGAACGTCAGAAGCAACCATCACCCAGCAGTAAAACCAATCAGGAGTTACAGTGTCAAACATCACAAAAAGAACTCATGGACCTATCAATGCTACAGATGTTACTACTGTAGAGGTTGGGGACATATCAAAAGGGCATGTCAGAAGCTCAAAAATAAAAGGGCAAGAATTCAGAAGATCAAACAAATTTGGGTTCCAAAGGGAAGAGTCATGGTAGAAAACTCATGCCTCAGAGTTACTCCTTATCAGTGGCTGCTGGACATTGGATGTTCACATCATATGACTGGTGACAAATAGAATCTTACAAATGTCAACTCAGTTGAAAGAGGAAATGTCAAATTTGGTGGTGGAGCACAAGGAAAAATCATAGGATGTGGAATACTGAATGTATCCGGACTTCCACCAATCAAAAACGTATGGCTTGTACAAGGACTTCAAGTAAATCTACTCAGTACCAGTCAGATATGTGATCAAGGGTTGGAGGTTACATTTACTCAACAAAAATGCTGTGTGAAAGACAAGAACAAACTGGTGGTGCTAGAAGGTGATAGAACAACTGACAACTGTTACAAAGTAACCCCTAATGTTCTATGCTTTCCTGCAAGCCAACAGGATGCAAGGCTATGGCACTACAGACTTGGTCATTTAAACTTTAAAGATCTCACAACCCTCTCAAACTCTGATGCAGTTTGAGGACTGCCCAAGATAAAGAGACTGGAAGGAGAAGTATGTGGTACATGTCAAAAAGGGAAACAAACACGAGCAAGCCATCCTAAAAAGGTATATCAACCTACCACGAGACCATTGGAGTTGATACATATTGATCTCTTTGGACCAATGAAAACTGAAAGCATTGGAGGGAAGAGATTTGTGCTCATAGTGGTGGATGATTACACGAGATATTCCTGGGTAAGCTTCTTGAGACACAAAGATGACGCACTAGAAGCCCTTGTCATATTGTGCAACAAAGTGCAGAATGAGAAACAGCTCAAGATTAAAAAGGTCATTCGTGTACGGAGTGATCATGGGGAGAATTTGAAAGTCTGCCATTAAGTGAGTTCTGCAACAAGGAAGGAATTCAGCATGAGTTCTCTGCTCCAAAAACTCCACAACGGAATGGAATTGCGGAGAGAAAGAATAGGCATGTACAAGAGATGGCCCGCACGATGATAAACACTCAAAACTTGGCACAGAACCTATGGGCTGAAGCAGTACATACAGCATGCTATACGATAAATAGGGTATACATCAGAAGCGGCACAAAGGCTACGCCATATGAGTTATGGAAAGGAAGAACTCCAAATCTTGCACACTTCCACATCTTTGGAGCAAAATGTTATGTCCTACGAGACAGACAGCAGAAAGGAAAATTCGAGGCCAAAAGTGAAGAAGCAATATTTGTAGGCTACTCACCAAACAGCAAGGCATACAGAGTATTGCTCAAAAGAACCAGGAATATAATTGAATCAATAAACATGGTGGTAGATGATCAAATACCAAGAAGGTGCAGTGATGACTCTGAAACTGCTGAAACACAAACTGAGACAGCTTTAGAACAGGAAGAGACAGATTCTGAAGAACAAACAAACAATGAGGAGGATCAAACTACGGGATCAGAGGAGTCAGCAAGAACACCAGAGGAGTCAACAGGAATACCCACACATGTGCACAAAAATCATCTACCAGAAAATATCATAGGGAACCCAAGAGAAGGCATCCAGACTCGGAAAAAGAAGATAGATTTTGTTGAGATGATAAATGCCTTTTATACCTATTCAGTTGAGCCAAAGAACATAAAAGAGGCACTCAAAGAAGAACCGTGGATAGATGCTATGCAAGAAGAGCTGGGACAGTTCGAGCGCAACAGTGTATGGGAACTGATTCCAAAACCAGAAGGTGTTAATGTTATTGGGACAAAATGGATCTTTCGAAACAAAACAGATGAAGATGGGAAGGTAGTCAGAAATAAAGTAAGGCTGGTAGCTCAGGGTTACACACATGTCGAGGGAATTGATTTCAAAGAAACATTTGCTCCAGTTGCAAGTATGGAATCCATTCGCATGTTAATAAGCATGGCATGCATTCTTAACATGAAACTCTACCAGATGGATGTGAAAACTGCATTTCTAAATGGCTATCTTAAAGAAGAAGTATATGTCTCACAACCAAAAGGATTTAAAGATCCAAAACATCCAGATCATGCTTACAGATTGAGGAAAGCACTCTACGGGCTGAAGCAAGCTCCGCGTGCATGGTATGAGAGGCTAACTACTTACCTCCTCAAGGAAGGATACAAAAGGGGTGGAGCAGGCAGCAATATGTTCTATAAAAGGTACGGATCAGACATCCTCATTGCTCAAATATACGTTGATGATATTATTTTTGGGTCTACCTCAAAGCAGCATGTTGACAAGTTTGTCAAAACAGTGGAAATGAAGTTTGAGATGAGCATGATAGGAGAATTAACCTTCTTCATAGGATTACAAGTCAAGCAAACTGAAAAAGGAATTTTTATCTCACAAGCAAGGTACATACAGAATATGCTGAAGAAATTTGACATGAGTGACTGTAAAAGTGCTAGTACACCTTGTCCCACACATGAAAAGATCAGCAGGGAAGGGATGACTGTGGTAAATCAGTAAACGAGACTCAATACAGAAGTATCATTGGAAGCCTGTTGTACCTCACTGCTAGCAGGCCAGATATCTGTTATAGTGTGGGAGTATGTGCCAGATACCAAGCAAATTCAAAGGAGTCGCACCTCAAGGCAGTCAAAAGAGTACTAAAATATGTCAGAGGCACACAAAGCTTGGGTTTATGGTACGAGAAAGGTGGTCCAGCACAATTAGCAGCATTTAGTGATGCAAACTGGGCAGGAAATATAGATGATCGGAAGAGTACATCAAGGGGTTGTTTCTTCCTAGGAGGAAATTTGGTTGCTTGGCTAAGTAAGAAACAAAATTCAGTGTCCTTATCTACTGCAGAAGCTGAATATGTTGCAGCCAGGAGTTGCTGTGCACAGTTGCTATGGATGAAGTCAGTATTATCAGACTATGGAATACAACAGAAGACAATACCACTATATTGTCACAACACAAGTGCAATTAGTATGTCAAAAAATCATGTGCTACATTCTCGAACAAAGCATATTGACATCAAACATCATTTTATACGAGAATTAGTTGAAGAAAAATTTTTTAGTCTGGAGCATGTTGACACAGAAGAGCAATTGGCTGATATTTTCACAAAGGTGTTGGATGGAAGCAGATTTGAAATACTCAGATCCAAATTGGGTCTGTGTGCACCTTATTAATATGTCACATAAATCACTTTGAACACAAATTGTCAGCTAATGTGTTCAGATTATCACTCATCTGCTGAAATATTGACATGTGTCACCTAATGGAGTTGTGCAAAATGCATGGGCACGCATTGTAAAAGGCGCATGCCTGCCTTGAAAACCGAAGGATCTCAGATTCAAAAATCAAAAATCCTAATCCAGCGTGTGTCCAGAGAGAGAAAATCCCTAATCAAGCGCTTGAATCTGAAACGCACCAAGAAGAATCAAGAAATCGCAGTGCTCTAAAAGAATGGTGCGTATCAAAATGGCTCTACCCCAAAGATGGACAGGCAAATCAAAGGCGAAGAAGGAGACGTTCCTCGGGCCCTCTTGGACCAAGCTATTTTCAAAGGGTGAATCGTCATCATCCTCTCCAACTTCATCTAAAAGAGTAGGTAAATCAGCAGCATTGCCCCTTCTCTCAGATGACGATGGTCTGCATCTTCCAATCCTAGAGTCAACCGAAGTGTTACTCCTGGAGTATACTGTAACACCCCAATCCGTATAACCCGGAATTACACGAATTAAGGTGAAACGAGAGTTAAATAAAAATTTCGCTTGACATTTGAAAATGACAATTACTTATCAATATCAAATTTACAGACTCTGGATCGTGACCCATTTAAAAATATTTTCAGAGTAATGCGAAAGTACAATAATAATCAAATCATGACACATTTTAAAATCTGATGATCAAACATTTGCCTGCTATCCTTGCATCTCCTCTGACTCAATGCCCTCCGGGAATGGTTCCATCATTGTATTCTTGTTACCTACGTGTAGTCAACGAAAAATACAAACTACACGCTCAGCGAAACCGCTGAGTGGTACCACGCTAGAATTGTTGAATGATTCATAGACATATACATTTACATATATATATGTCCACAAAAATGTATATTAAAAATTATGATATGGCACATTATATCATATGGTCAATTTGATTAATCATGATGATAAATATTTAATGATAATTACATGATGGCACATTTAATCAATTAGCTTGTGAGGATGATTACATGATACCTATGTAATCAATATACTTTTTCTTGATGATGATTACATGACACCTATGTAATCAATGTAATTGTACTTGATGATGGTAACATGATGCATGATCCTATAACTTGCAAGGACGCCCTTGCGCTATGAGATTCGCCCATTTGGTACGACGAACTCACGCGGCCTTAGTCTCACGAATGAGGTGAGACTAGAAAAATAGGGGTGGTACTCGAAACCTGAATACCATGTACGTACACTAAGCCCGGAACGGGTGATGTCGGACTAGTAAGTCCCGCACATCACGCTATAAGAGACGCAATTACACATGATCTCTTACGCATGCATATGATATGATATGCTACAATATGTGTGATGATATGAGTCATATGATATGAACAATTTGTAAACAATATGAATGGATAAATATACTTTATTTTATTTGGGTGAAATCTGATAAAAATATCATTTAATTAAACTACGGGGCTCGAAACGGTTGACCGTTTGGCGAGATGGTCGACCTTGATCTTCATCGTATCGGGCTAGCGGATCACCGTGACGGTCGACCGTGGTTGACCGGCGGTCGACCGTTGTTGACTGGCTGTGGATGGGGGACTTCGTCTGGACGGGCGGTCGACCCTTTGGCTGACAGTCGTGGTCCGTTTGGAAGTTTAATACGACGGTCGACCGTTTGGGTCTGCGAATCTATCTCTTGACATTTTGAGTATCCAAAATACTTCTTTAAGTCTTTTAAACATATTTGATTAATATATTCATATTGTTGGGTTGATTTCAATGTTTATATATACTTATGTATATATATAATAACTTATGGATTTGGTGTATTTTGGTCTTAACACAAAGATGACTTATATATGTATCACATATTTATTTCGGGATGATTTCAACATATGGATTAACATATATGTTCATGTACGTATGTGATGAATGATTCGACAAGTCTAACGCAAAGGTACAGACCTGGAAATCATCGGTCGAAACCTTACGGATGAACGGGAGTGGAAACAACATCGAAATTCACCAACTTTGTCAATCTCGTCACAATTGGACAGCCTGCGGTATTTTGGGCATATCTCCATCGTTTCTTCACGGAATCGCAAACCGTTTGATTTTGCAGATTCCTAAGATGTAAGGCTATAACTTTCGTATAGAAAGTATTTCGAGTTAACAGATGTAAGATAGCGTAAATCGGACCTGAAGTCCAGGGAAAGTTGCTGTCCAGAATTTCGGCTATGTCGATGAACACGACTCCGATGATTAACTCACTAATTTCAACATTCCAACGCCGAACCCTCTCTACGATACCTTCCGGATGTTCATAATAATTTTTAGAGAGTTTATGGTAGGTATGGAATGAAACAATATGAATTTGGTGAAGAAACGCATGCCAACCCGAGGAGCTCGCCACCACTGGCGCAGTCCCGGTATTTTGGCCATATCTTCTTCGTTACTCAACGAAATCGCGAGCCGTTTGTTGGGCTGGATTTGTATCGTCCGGGGCTACAACTTTGGTTCAAGAAGTATTTCGAGATAATGGGTGGAAAATTTCAGTTTTTACCTCAAAGTGGACTGATGTGTTTTGGACTCAAGGTTAGGAAACTTTGGATGGTTTCTTGCTTGCTTCTTCTTCTTCCTTGAGCCAACTATGGAGGAGGAGTTGTGTTTTCTTCTCTCCTTGAAGCTGCCGACAGAGAGAGAATGGAGAGGGATGGATGGATGAATGAATGATGGTGGATGATGGTTATGAGAGTGGAAGATAATGATGATATTGAGTGGTGGAGTATTATATGGGATAGCTTGGATTGTTGTGGTGTAGTGGGCTTCTTAGGTGGATGGTTGAAACAAGAGGGATGCTAAGGAGATTTGGAAGAGATTTGAGAATTGAGTTTTGGCTTTTAGCCAAAACTGAACAATTTACTTTAAACGGTACGCGCTTTTTCGCCCAAACTGTTCCGAATTGAAAACGGATTGTGTTTTTTGGAATGATACTGTCAAAACTAGAATTTTGACATAATCAAAATATTTTTATGAGAACTTTTATTTTTCTCAGTGTTCAGGTCTGTCTTAGTCATAAATTAATTTAATAATATGAATGAGATAAAAATATACAAATTAAATCCAAATGATTAATATGATGTTGCCAAGTGTCAAAATTAAGATTTCTAATCTTATGAAATCACTTTTGAATTGAGTTTATTTTATGGGTCAAAGTTACAAATTTTAATATTTAAAATCGTCATAGCTTGAAATCTATAAATCAGATTGGTTCATAAAATGTACCGTTGGATTCGTCTCTTCGAGACATATCCATAAAAATAAGTTTTTAACAAAAAGTCATTATTTTGGAAATCCATTTATTTTTGGTCAAACGTATAAATATTCCTTATTGGATAAAACTACTTTTATTTTATAATAAATTTTAGGTCATATTTTGTGGCGTTACATATACTCCACTTAATCCCCAAAGAGAAGAGTCATCACAAAACCCTAATACTAGAGAAAGGCACTGTGCAAAAGAAATTATGGGGGAAATCCTTGAAGAAGACACAATAGTTGCATGCTCTGAAGTCCCTTTTCAAGATTCCTTGCCCAGATCTGATGAATACAACACTGAAAGGAAGAACGTCTCTGGACCCACCCGATGGTCTCTTAGAAAGGCCAAGGCCACTCAGGTGACAGAGGGTCCAATGAATGAGCAGCTCGAAGCCCACGAGTCTCAGACTAAGAAGAAGAAGATGAAGAAGAGAAAAGAGTGAGAAGAATACTCCTCACCAGCGTCTCCACTCAAGAAAGCAAAATCTTCTGCTAGTTGTCCATCTTCATCAGCACAAGGAAGGGAGATCAGAAGCTCAAAAGCCACCAAACCAGGCAACAATACAGGGAAGCCCTCGGTTAAACTCTTCACTTCTCTTACTACTAAAGCCTTTTTTACTGATATTGTGAAGAAATCAATTATAATGCAAAGGAATCTTGATGTGCCTGACTTTAGCAAGAAAACAAATTTTCTGCCCATACTCCATTCAAAAAAGTTGTTCAAATCTGTTACTCTACCTGGTTCATTTGTGAAACGAGTAATTCAAGAGTTTTACAGCAACTTATCTGAGTCATGTGTTGATGTTGATGATCCCTCTTACCATAAAGTTTTTGTTCAAGGAAAGCTCTATGATTTCTCACCCGCTGTAATCAACAATTTTCTTGGCACTCCTTCAAATCCTGCAATTACACCTATTGCTGAAGAAACTGTGTGGAATGATCTTACCAATGGCCTTAGGGATTACCAGCATGGGAAAACCAAAGTACCATCCTCTGTACTCAAAAGCTCCTATGCCCTACTTCTCAGAATTGCTGCCTTCCACTGGCTGCCCACCACACACACTAACACAGTTCCCCTCTGCATGGCCACTCTACTTTATAGAATCAAAAATCATGCTCCACTTGATTTGGGAAGGACTGTGTATGACCAGGTGATGACTTTTGCAGCTGCCAAATTCAAGAAAAACAAGAATGGCCTTCCATACCCTTTGCTAGTCTACAGCATTCTGAGGGATCAAGGTTTTGAGAAGGAGGAAAATGAAGAGGAAGAACCCATACTCTCCTTGTTGCAGGTTGATAGTAGGCACTTGGAAGGAAGCCACTTCAATGACATGGTAGATACTAGAGCATCTGGAGGCACAGCCCAGGATCCCTTCTCTGTTGATCTACAGCTCAGTTTTCTGGACAAGGAGATTAAAGCACTCCAGATGGATGCGGATTATCACCAAGAAATTGCTCAGAGGTCCACAGAAAGGAGGAACATGCTCATCCATATTGCCCACACCTTGAGACAAACAAGGGGTGCACAGAGACAGGGGGAGAGCCTGACCAAGCACAGAGCAGCTGCTGCACGTCCAGATTCAGAGGAAGAAAGCCTAGGAGACAGTGAAGAGGAGTCTTTATCATCAGAATCAGAGGGGGCCACTCAGGATTCAGCAGAAGATGACAGCTCAGAGGAGTAAACATTGTATAACTGTAGATTCAGTTCTTCTAAAACACTTTTTTTTGTGGGAAGGGTTGTTCTGCCCTGTTTCTTATGCTAAAACATTGCATGTTTGCTTTTTGTTTGGGATGATTTGCAACCTTGCCTGATGGAGAACTGGTTTAATTCCTCTCCCTACTAAAGTTTGTTTTGTGACACATTCTGGTTCTGATCTTAGATGCATATGTTGTGAAGACCTGATACTACACGAGCATACTCTCCTTCATGGGTACTTGGCTCTTTCTATGATGACTGATGTAGGTACAGCTCTTTAGAATCCTCTCTTATGTTCTCTTATTGTACCTATTCTTGACCGTATTGAATATTACTCTTCTCTTTTTACCCCCAACAATAATCTGTACTTCTCAATAAAAGATCTTTGGCATTTGTTATGCAAAAAAGGGGGAGAAGAGGTTAAAAACGGATGAATAATGGTTTTTGTCAAAAAATTGCCAAAGGGGGAGATTGTTAGCTCCAACTAGTTTCTGTTGATAGAGTTTATGTTGGCATTATTTTTTGACAAAACCCCTTCTGTAGCAATGTTAGCATGTCTGTGTCAAGATAAGAGCTGTAGCATCCTGTCAGTCATGGTATAGAGTTTGTATACGGTATGGACTCTAAATGTGTGGAGACTTATATGTCAAGAGGGGTTCGTGAGGTGTCCATGTAACACCCCAACCCGCATAACCCGAATAAATAGATTAGCGAACCGGGTTGCTACTAAATTGGTATCAACATACAATATTTCTCAATAAATAAAAACATTTAATTTAAAAACTAAAACAATTCAAACCATTTAATTTACATATCGAAGTGTATACAAACAGTGCAGAAGCCTTGTAATTAAATCAATCATTATTAAGTCCCTGCATCCATACATCTCCTTCGTCGTGCTGCCCTCCAGGATGGATTCCAAAGTCAGTCCCTCCATGATTACCTACGTGTAACAAGGGGAAAGAGAGGCTACACGCTCAGCAACAAAGCTGAGTGAGAAATATCTAACAGTTCAAACATACACATATGCGAATCCACTAATTCATAATCATAACATGATATCATGCACATAGGTGTAATATCATGCAGTTCACATAAACAATTCATCATATAATTTACCTGGCACCTGCCCTTTTTCCATTCTCGCCCAAAACGGAGCGTATCTTGCAATAGTGGATCACCATTCATCTGTGCTTAAACTCTACACTAGACTAAGGACCATAACTTTACTGTATGGGAGACATGATGGTTCCCACTGGATCAGCGGGTCATGCTCGACCAACGAAGGAGTTCTCCGTTAGGTGGGTGGAATCCCCACGTGATGGATAACCAGGCAGTTCAAGGATACCCGTACATACGTTTTTACCCGGTTCGACTTAACCATTGGAGCCCAGCAGGCATCCACCTGGTTTATACTCTTAACTTCCTATATTTATGTCAGTCCCAAAGATTCCCTTTGGGTAGACTTACCTTACCAACGCGTTGGATCAACACGCGGTACCTGTTTGCTGTGTGCTGGATCAGCCCACTCATACTTGCAATATCATATCCAAACATATGTATTTCATATAATCACACATGTGTTGGATCACCATAATAATATTAGTTTACATAAGTGCTGGATCAATACAAAGCAATCACAATCATAACACATAGCGGCCTAGAATTGGGTATTGATACCCAAACTTACCATCATACAACATATAAGGTCTTAGAATCAATCCTCGACGAAAACACATATTAACAGACCCGGCATCAGGTACCAGACAGTACCCTTCATGGTACGGGGTACCGTCCTCACGGTACCTGGGTACCGGTCCTACGGTACTGGGGTACCGTCCAAACCCACCGGACCCAGCGTGTAGACCTGTCACGGTAGTCACTACCGACTCAGCGATAGGGCCTACCGTCCGTCCGTACCTAGGTACCAAACAGTCACAACTACCGGCAGAGGAGGAGGGACAGACAGAGTGTGACGATAGCACGGTACCGTCCCGGCGGTACCGCCTACCGTCCGATACAACAAATTTCAGTTTCATACCTGTTTTGTTTTCAGCTACGTACCAACATTTAACATTGAAAATTTCCACATAGATATGTTCTTAATCGGGTCCCAAATCTGATTAAATTCATCCGTCAATGAATCCAAACAGAACATAATAATTCATCAAACATATATTCAATAATTACCCAACACCTAATCATGCGTTCTACCCTTTCCAATCAATATAATCCCCGGAACCACAATCAAGCATCTCAACAAAGTATTCCACGTCGATCAATCACGATAACAATTATGAACGAAATTTCAAACATATATGCATATTCTAGTGTTAGGTGTCCATGTACTCACCTTGATTCGTCGATTAGAATTCATTGTCGGAATAGATTCATCCCGTTGCCCGAACCATTACGGCTGCCCAAATTACCACCGCTGCCCGGAATGGCTGGAACATGGAGGGAGGTCGCCGGAATTATTGGGGTCGTTCGCCGGAATAGAGAGCTTCCCCGCCGCTGACCCGCCGTTGCCAGAAGCTGACGGACAGCGGGGATCGCCAGAGGAACCTGGTTCGTCATCGTCAGAGCAGAACCGCTGGGGCTCGCTGGTTCGCTGGCTGTCCGTCTCCGACTCCATCCTCGAGCTCGCCAGAGTTCGCCGCTGTCATGGTCACCGGAGGACGTTGAGGTCTTCATCGCCGGTGATCTTACCGCTGGCCTCCCCCTGCGCCGCTGCTTCCGTTGGTCGAGGAAGATGGTGACGATGGCGTGGATCTCCTTGCTCAATCGAAGAAGAAGGACGGGGACCGGGTCTGTGGTTCGGCGGCGCTGATCTAGATGAAGGAGAATCCGGGAGTATTTGTAAACCTTTGTGCTCCGTAATTTAAATTAATGTGTCCGAGTAAACACACATTTTTCGGGCCAACTTGCTCCGAATTGAGATCCGTTCGCGTTGTTATATTTGATTCGTCGATCCCTACCCAATGGTATAACTTTTATAATCGTTCAACAAGTATTCACAGGTTCCACCTGGTCCGTCTTAATTCTTTTGATTAATTAATACGAATTAGTCTTTTAATTTAGATCTTTACAAATATATTCAGATTAGTATCGATATAGTGAGACAATTAGAATCTCCAAAGTATCTTAATTATTCTTTAAAGAATAAGTTGTAAATAAATAATTCCTATTTATTTAAATAGCGAATAACTTCTAGATCGGTTTTCCCGGCGTTACAGTCCAGCATCAAGAGAATCTACATTAATTGGTTATCTCCTAGCCACGTGCTTAATAGCTGATGCAATCTATGGAAGAAGTCATGGCGCGCTAGGATTGTCTAGTACTCAAGCGTATCATCGTAAGAGTTACATACTATCTCCACTAGGGTTATAGACATCCTATAAAGAGAGACACCCATGGATGAAAGGAGGTTGTGCAGAATAATACTCATAATATCATACGAAAGAGCGAGAGATCATAGCTGCCCTGATCAAAACAAAACTGTGAGAGATTTGCATGAGAAGATCAGTCATGGATCTTCTCTAGATATTGTTCAGCAGTGTCAACCTGGTTAGCTGAGCAAGGGTCAGCAACACATCCTTCGTGCAGAGCAAGAAGGTGTAATAGGCCTCGTAGTGACACAAACCGAGTTTGGTGTCAGATCACGTAAGTAGACAAGTCAAATTCATTAGAAGGATCTGTTGAAGTTTGATAGTGTAATTCTTACGTTGATCTAGTGGAAAGGCTATTACACGGATGTGGGCCTCGCAGATGTAGGAGATACTGCTTCGAACTGCGTAAACAAATCTCTGTGTCTTTGTGTTTTTCTTTGTTGTGTGTGTGACTGTTGGAAAAGGTGTTGTAGCATCTCGTGTGTTCTAAAGCTACAACGCTCTTTTCAATAGTGTTTTTGTGATTGCATCTGTTTGCTGTTTGTCTCTGTTACGAGTCTTTTCTTGGAAGTGTGGAAATTTCAGAGATGAGATAGTTGCGTTTCATAGGATATAGATAAAATGTTATCTGAATCTATGCGTAGGCAAACATATTGGATATGTTGCTGGATTGCCCCGCTATGAGAATAATATATGAGTTTAAGTTCAAGTGTTAATATTATTCTCATGCGACCATTAGTATAACTATCCTTTGACTTGAAGTCATTACGATCTCTAGTCAGCTGAGTTGCATATTTTGAAGCATGATTTATGCCACCTGAAATATTGGTGGATGTATAATTATGTTCTGGGTATGCAATGAAACTTAAGTAGATGTGAATGACGTAGATAGAATTTATCCCTTCCTGTGCGAAGTATAATATCTGAGGGTCCACTGATTGATGTAACTTGGGAAGTGCATGGACACTCAAAGAATTAGTAAACCATCGATTTAACTCTAACAAGGTGACATACCACATACCTTGTGTTAAGTCAAGATATTAGTGATAAAGGGATAAGAGTAATAAAAATGAGATATGTCATTGAAGGAATTATATCAAGAGCTTTATTTCTATAAGTTGGGGGTGATAATGTGTTGCTAGATATCGCTTATCACTTATATTATCTAATAATATGACCAATTTTATAGGTACCTAGAATAGGGTCACTCACATAGAACGTATGAATGAAGTAGAATATTGAAGTGGAGTAAAGTTGCGTTTTATATATTGTGTATATTATATTATGTGACAATATGATTAGATACACAAACATATATAAATAAATGTTTATATTTGGAAATTTTTATTTTATGATAATTAAGTATGTCAAATATAATTAATTAATTATATATATATCTATGTATGTATGTATGTATGTATGTGTGTGTGTGTATATATATATGTGTGTGTGTGTGTGTGTGTGTGTGTGTGTGTATATATATATATATATATAATAAATTAATTATTATTTTATTATTAATGTAGCACATAAAATATTTGAACTTTTTAATTATATGATAATTAAGTTTGTAAAATATTATTTAGGGAACAAAACATAATATTAGGATATATATAATAAATGTTATATTATTTATTTTGTGTTAATTATGTGATAATTAAAGTTGAAAAAATAAATTGGAAGGTTCCTTAATGGGGTGTTTCAAAATTAACAAAGTAAAGTAGGAATGAGATTTGATTTCTTTCCTAAAAACTAAAAGGTACATTCCTATTAGGAATAGGAATGATGATTATACTCCTTTTAAATAGGAGATCATCCCACCCTTTTTGTCTCTAGAATTTTGGCCCTCCCTTTTTTTATTATGAGACAATTTGTTTTGTTTTCTTGATACTTACTCCAAAATATTTTATATTTTAGAAATATTCTAGGGAAAAATTACTAGTATAAGTTTCTCTAGAACGCTCTTCGTAGTTCGTGTGTCTCAACTAGAGGTTAGATTCTTTTGTGGCTAGCTCTTGGACTAATCTCTCCAATCTACACTGTGTTAATTGTTCGCCTAGAAAGGTTTAATCTCTAACAATAACTTATAATGATCATAAAATGTTTTGGGTGGATCTATATTTGGACAATTTTTTTTATATTTCCGTTGCCCTATCCAAGCGTAGAACCCTACAAATTGAACTCTGCTATTTCTATACAGTTTCCGACCCAGGTGATAGCTAGGTACTGCCTCACGGTAACGTGCTACCACCACAATCCACCACGGGCCATTTTGATGTGCCAGTAACTGTGTCTGGACGGTAAGGGGTACCAAACCAACGATACCAATAAGTTACCGCCTGGTGGTGCCGAGGTACCGTGACAGGTATCGTGTGAACACCCAGCCGCCCGCTTATTTGTCTGTTTGTCGCGATTCGAAACTAGAATTGATTTTGAGACCTTATGTGTTGCATGACACTAAGTGAAAGGTTCTTACACCCAACACTAGGCCGCTAATTAAGTTATATAATTGATTATCTGATTGTTGTTATCTTTCTTATAATTAAACTAGTTTTCTACCCCGTGCTTCGCATGTACTAGGGATGTGTTCACGTGTCTATTAATTAAGATTATCATAGTTAAATTTTTTTGATATATGAAAACAATATTTTAAATGGACACAATTTTTATAAATTTACACACTTTATGGTCAAAGTATAGAGCATTTTGACCAAAAATATCAAATTGTTATTAAATGATATACTAATGAAAATTGATTTAACTACTGAAAAAATAAAATAAATTAAGGTAATGATAAATCATTGAAAAATGCATATGCGGTATATGGCCTATATGTCGTGTGTTATACTTCAAGAAAAACAAATTAATTTAATTTTTGAAATGATATATAGTAAATTAAATAATGTTACAGATAAAACATTTTGAAATAAAATATAGTATATGGTTAGTAAATATATAGTTAGTAAAATATAGTAATTTGGTAAAATAACAATATAAAATAAATGGTGGATTGTTATATATATATATATATATATATATATATATATATATATATATATATATATATATATATATATATATATATATATATATAANAAAGGTGAGTTTTGGTGTTCAAAGTGGTGAGCTTTGCTTTATATCCAGGTGAGTTTTACATTGGCCATTGGTGAGCTTTGCACTGTAATGTGGTGAGTTTTGTGTCATCTCACCGAAGCATGTCATCTCACTGGAGTCAATCCCATATATATATATATATATATATATATATATCTATATATATATATATATATATATATATATATATATATATATATATATATATATATATATATATATATATATATATATATATGGGATTGACTCCAGTGAGATGACATGCTTCGGTGAGATGACACAAAACTCACCACATTACAGTGCAAAGCTCACCAATGGCCAATGTAAAACTCACCTGGATATAAAGCAAAGCTCACCACTTTGAACACCAAAACTCACCTTTTTTAATTTTGAAAATTTAAAAATTAATAAAAAATAAAATAACAACACCGGTCAACCACCGGTCAGCGGTGGCGGTGCGGTGGAGATTGGCGGCGGCCGTCGGCGGTGGTCGGCGGCGGCCGGCGGTCGGCGGTGGTCGGCGGCGGCGGCGGCCGGCGGCGGCAGGGGGGTCGCCGGTGATGGTCGGTCAACGGTCAATGGTCAAAGTCTAGTCAGCAACATGCACTTCCTTTGATTTTTTCAAAAAAAAATTCAAAGTGCTAAAAAAATATGGTGAGTTTTGCCTTACAGTTTGGTGAGTTTTGTAGTTGTCCTTGGTGAGCTTTGCACTGTAAGATGGTGAGCTTTGCGTCATCTGACCGTAGCATGTCATCTGACTGAGTCAATCTCATATATATATATATATATATATATATATATATATATATAATGTTAGTAAATTAAACAAATGATCAATTCTTGGTGCTGGAAATACAGAAACAAAGGATGGATGACCAGGGATGAGAATCTCACCTCGCAGGGACTCCAATTGCTTCTGCGGAATGAACGACTTATCATTAACACAAACGGAGATGGCGACTGACCTTTTGGTCTTTTTACTTCTTCTTTACTTTTTGTAAGCTCATTTAACATTTTATTTAAGTTTTGGGGCCTTGGTTTTGTCCTCCCCATGGTTTTGTCCTCCCCAAACGTGTAATTCATATCCAGTAATAAATTTGGTAAGGGCATAAAAAAAATGTTAGTTCTTTTTCTGGCTTCACACGGGCTCGCATGTATTCTAATATTTGACATTAAAAAATATAATATTATTTATTTTAATTCTTTAATATGATATATGAAGTTTATAAAAACCTAATAAAAATAAATATGCATCTATGACATCACTTGTGGTATCACATGTGGCATGGCGTGCACACGTGACGTAGTGGGTAATAAATATACACCATGTACTAAAATATACTTCGTAGTATCTAATAGGATAAAAAGTTTGAAATAATTTTGTATTTAATAAATATTTATATGTAATAAAAATGTTATAATACTGCTTTGAAAATTTAATAACAATAAATGTTCTTTGTGCTCAATGATA